TTCCCCGTGAGGTACAGTCCTCCAAAGATGATCCCTACATAGTAGAGACCCTTGTGACCACAGGGTTTCTTCTCTAGTTCCTCTTGATCCTTTTCCCGAATGGGAGTCGGACCATCGACATACTCTTTGAAGTGCCCTTGCTTGATGAGGTCTTCGATTGCTTGCTTGAGAGCTCGACACTCATTGGTGTGATGCCCATTATCGCGATGATAACGACAGTATTTTTTGCTATTTCTGGCTAAGGGGAGATTCTTCATGGGCTTTGGCTCTCCGAGCAAGCTGGCCTCCTCTAACTTATCCAGAATAGCCGACACTGAGGCATTCAAAGGAGTGCATTGACTTTTGTCGCGATTTCGACAAGGAACTGGGGCATAAGATTTTTTTGGCTCAAATCGCTGCTTCTTTCCTTTCCGTTGATCATCATTAGCCCATCTACGATCAACCCTCTACTATTCTCCCCCCGGTTGGGAGCATTGGTCGAGGGACCGGGTTGCTGCGGTTAAGAGTGGCCATGAAATTTTTTATTCAGAGATATTTCTTAGTGAGATTGTAGAAGCGAGTGAGGGAAACATCATCCTCTGATTGCAGTTCCTTCCACAAGTCAGTCTGTGGGCGAATCCCTTGATAATAGAGTCTGAACGGACTCCTCGGGAGTATGAGCCACTTTGTGGGGTTCCCTGTGGAATCTATCTATGTAAGACTGGAGAGATTCATCCCTCTCCTGCCGTATGTTGCTCAGGTAGCTCAGCAACATCGAGAATTTCCTGTTTGCCTAGAAGTGTCTCAGGAATGATGAGCTCATTTGATGCCATGAGCTGATTGATCCCGCGAGAAGTGACCTAAACCAACGCTTGGCATGGGCAGTTAGGGTTACTGGTAAGCAGCAACATTTGACCAAGTTAGAGACTTGGTGGAGTTCCATGAGGTCATTGAACTTGTAAAGGTGATCCTATGGATCTGAATTCCCATAAAATGTCCGCATGTCGAGTATTCTGAATCTCAATGGGAGAGGAGCAGCTAAAACCGTTGGAGAAAAGGGAGACACCTCTACGACCTTCTCACGCTTATTCTACTCAGCCTTGAGCTGATCCAAAGCTCGTTGTAGTTCCTTAATCTGAGGTAGCAGAGCTGCTTGGGGATCACTTTCTGCAACGTGGTTCGACCCTCATGGTTGCGGTTGAGGAAATACCACAAATTAAGCTCTTCCTCAACTTGGTTGAAAGCTCCGACGAACTTGGACACACGTTGGCTGAGGTTGTGTGAAGGCATTGAATGGCTTGGGGAGTTTTTTCAATCTCCGCGGTGGTCAGAACCAACCCGTGGACGACAGGGGTTTCCCGCATGATGACGGTTGAGGTCATCATTTTGAAGATATTGGGAATCTCCCTACCTTGCACTTTTGTGGGAGTGTCCATGCCACATGGCGTGGGACGGCTCATGCTGCGACATGTCGCCGAGTCGCAATGCCACGAGTATTCTACCCGTTGCACGATCGGTGTTTACTGGTCCCTCGGAGCCCTTCGATCCACTGCTTGCCACTTGCTTTCCCTTACTTTTGCACAATTCAATGCTCGGTACAGGCTTTTGCCCTTTTTTTGCGCTTTCGCGCCACTTGTAGGCGTCTTTGGCGGTGGCATCGCTTCAAGAGAGTAAATAAAGACGGTTTTTAAAGTGGTTCAGATGCTCAAAAGCGATTCCTACGTCCACTATAATTGTATTAATAAATGGTTATAGTCAGGTCGCATTTAGCGAGCTGAGTTACAATCTAGAGAGAATATATATATATATATATATATAGAGAGAGAGAGAGAGAGAGAGAGAGAGAGAGAGAGAGAGAGCAAGCTATTTAAGACTAAAGATAAGTCAATCCCGTAAATGAGAGAGGAGCCCTCTATTTATAGTGGGAGGATTCAAGGTAATAATCATGAGCCTGTAGTCTGGCAGGTGGGGTACAATTCCTAACTAGGATACAGAACCCCCCAGTTTTTTAAGGTTTAAAGATTGAACCTTAAGAACTTCATGACTATGCCACACTTGACTTTTCCAAATGCATTTGGTCGACTGATGAGCTGCAGACGTCGCAGCATATACCTCTAAGAATGTACACTAACTTGAGTGGCCTTCTCCCATAGTTACGCCTGGGTCAACCCTACCCAATGCCTACCGACATGCTTTGAATCTCATCCGCAGCTCGCGACCTGAGAATACTTAGCACATTTTCACAGAAAGCAAGGAGTTACATTGTCTTGAAACCAATACATGACGAAGAGTGTTTTACTCGAACGACCTTTCATGTTATCCGGTCGCTTGACAGCTAGTCTGGCATAATAATCTTTATTTTGACAGACGTCTATTGGCAATAAGTGTCAACCATGCGCATTAAATGCAAGCCATGCTGAAACGACATTCCTTTTCAAGCATTAAATGTGGATGAGGGCGCATTTAATATGGTGGAGATAACCGCCTAACGCTTGGTTGATCCAATGGAGGGAAGCATCGATTAGCATTCACGAAGCTGAGGTTTTCTTCTCACGATTAAGCAACGTGGTCTCAATCAATGGCGAGAAACGTATCCCGCCCAAGCATCACTTGCCTAGGAAAACACTCGTCATTTTCCCCTATAAATCTTGGGCTCGCTTCAAGTTTTGTCATAGAACTCTATTTTCAGAAGGAAACAAAACTCTCAAAAATTAGTCTGCCCTTCTTCCAGTTGCGCACTCTCTATTACGATAGAAAGTTCATTCCCAGTAGCCAAGAGATAAGAAGGATTTCTCCTTCGTTTTCTTTATTAATTTCTGATTGTTTGACTCTTGCAATATGGTGGATTGAACTGCTGGCATCCTTTATGGTGCGTATTTTCGGACAGTGGTGAGAAGAGAGCTTTTTCCTTCATAAAGAGTGAGAACTTAGGGCACGAATCCTTGGGGATTCTTCCCAAGGGTTTTTAGGATTTTTCTAGGGTTAAAGAAGGCATATTAGGGTTTCTTTTCTCTTCCACGTCATCATACGAAACACTGTACGGAGACGAGTTATTTTTTCCATGTCGCCCCTTTTTCAGACTTTAGAAGCAATGGATGCCTCAACAACAAGCAAACCGAGGGGACGAGCTCGCAAGCATCAAGTGCCCTAGCGGGTCCTGTGCAAGAGACATGTCATGGCCACTCGGGATGATATAGAAAGCAGTGGACCAGTACGTGCTTAGCGTGGATGTCTACCAGTATAGGACTACAGCTCGAATCCCCTAGAGGGAATGACCGCGATTTCTGAAGCGATCTTTAATGTGGCTTTGATACCTTTCACACCTTCATTAGATCGATCCTCAACCATTCGAGGTCGCGCCATTGCATTGACGCCTAATGCGTATATGATAGCTGTTGCTATGTATACGCATGTGGCGAAAATGGTCTTGCGAGTTGACAGCGCTAGAGCTCGCATACGCTTACTATCTAAAGAAGAGCAAAGATAAAGATTCTTTTTATGTTTCAAAACGATCCACGATTGAGGGAGAATTTGGTTACCCTAGTAACGTCGGGCTTATAAACAAATTTTTTCTTTTTAGTATGATGGCGTCTACCAGTTTAGGACCGAGTAGGTTTTCCTTTCTTTCATTTTGCGAACTGTTCCTTTTCCTCTTTTTTGTTTTAACGAACTTTTTCGTCTCATTGTAGGAAATAAGACGACCAGATTGACGGCTCTGACATTTTAATCGAATTGTGGCATTCGGTAATCTACCTGATAGAGTCGCAACACGAAACTGCTCGTGACTACGGTCAACCTAAAGAAGTACAATTTTTTTAATCCGAAAGCATCTCTGGAACCCTAGTCTGTAAGTATCCTCACACTTAGAACCTTTTTCTTCTATCTGTGGTAACCTTTTCGCTAACATGCTTTCATGGCTTGCAGCGACTATGTCACACAGGTTCCAAACCGATGACGAGGACAAGGGGGTTCGTATTTCCCTAGGTCTCCCCGACTGAGCTAACTGAAGCATCCTCGATATCCCCACGGGAGGGATACAAATTGGTGTGCGAACACCCACATAGCAACATGGGAAGCTTCTCGGCCCACGGTTGCTCGCGCCGCTAAGCAGAAAACCATGGGCCAGAAAACTAAGAAAAGAAAGCAGCTGCAAGCTGAAGAATCAGAGCGAGTCAAAGGGCTTAAGGGTGCAGCCTAGAGGATCGCAGCCTTACCAGCTTTCCGCTCGAGGGTACCCCCAAGCGCACGGCATTCGGTGTCCCCGAGAGCTCGCGCACAGGAAAAGGGGGAGCTGTGGTTCCGAAGGAGAGTGAGCAAACAACTGGTCGACGAGATGTCTTCCTCCGGGGGTAGACACACCTATGCTGGATTCCATGGGCAACCCCGGAACACCTGCAGCTGGTAGTGTATACCCTACTAGAGTGTCAACTGGCTGCGACCTTTAGGAGTTCGTGGCTTCCCGACCCCGGACCTATGGCTACAATGCTTCAATGCAAAGCCGGTAAAACAGCTCGTTCTTGTCAAGGACTTCCCAATATCAGCTAATTTCTTACATTTTATGATTTTTTGGAAAATTGAGGTTAACTCTTGTTTCTTTCTCATGCAATCCCTGCTGCCTTACATATGGCCCAACAAAAGATCAATTTGGACTCTATTGGAGGTTCCATGAGCTAGGGAAGAAATGTCAAGCTGAAACGAACTTTGTGCTCTGGACATAAGGCAAAACTAAGCTCAAAGAGAGGCGAGGAGAATAAAGAGCTCCAAAGGACAATGGCCAGACTCCACCAAAGAGTGTGGCGAGAAAGAGCAGGAGATGAAGGAAACTCTAAACGGCCATGAAGGCGAAGGAAGAGGAGCTTGACTATGAAAAAATTCTGAAAACAAAGAGACTCTAAATGGACCTCAAGCTTTCCCAAGGGCGGGCTTCATTAACTAATCATGAAACAGCAAATCTTAAACTCAAGGGAAGGCCGTTGACTGGGTATACATGCCATCATAGCTTGTGACCACGGAATTCGAGGATGGACCTCTCCGACCTCCCGAATGAATATCAGGACATCCTTGCTTCCATGGCTCAAGCTGATGATGCCAGGAGGAAAGGGACAAAGCCTCCTCCGGAGGATGACCAGCCTGAGGCCTATGTCCCTGAGGACCTAGCACTGATTTATGATCGGCAACCAACTGGGGGATACAAAGGTCGCACCCGTAAAGCCTGGAGGTGGAGACCAGTGATCGCTTCTTCTGCTCTACACACTTTTCTTTTGACTCTTTCTTTATTACTTATCTCTTTTTTGGCTGCCCTTTATATTTATTCATTTATATATATATATTATATATATATATATATATATATATATATATATATATATATTAAAGAAGTATTTTTAGCCATTCGTGATACACTTAATAATTCGAGCACTTCACAAGACTAATGTTCATATCCGAACAAAACTTGTAAAACATTGTAACAAACAAGATCATACAAGACTATGTTCAGACAAGAAGAACGATCTTATTCATAAAGGTTACAAGGAAAACTTTACAAGTAAAAGAAATGGAAAATTAGAGCGAGTTCAGAATTACTAGTAATAGGGGCGAAGATGCTCACACTCCAAGCTCATGATACTTCGGAACCATTAACCTCTTGAGGTGATACGTTCCAGGTCATATTACTTTGGCGATGTAGTATGACCTTCCCAGTTAGGTCCCAGTACCCCCGCGCTCTCGTTCCTTGTACCGAGAGGACTCTTTCAAAACTAGGTCACCGACCTGACCTTAGAGTCGAAGAACCTTTTCGCACCTATTGGTAAGATGGTATCCTTAACCAAGCATTGTCCTAGTGTTCTTCAACTAGGTTCAAACTTGCATGTAGAAGTGCTTCATTGTCTGTTTCATTGAATAGGTCTCTTTGGAGCGAACCAGTCCCTACTTCCACTAGGATCATAGCCTCATAACCATATGCTAGCGAGAAGGGCGTTTTTGAAATAGAGGTTCTCGGAGTTGTTCTATATGCCCAAAGAACTTCTAGGAGTCATCGACCCAATTACCTTTAGCACGCCAGATTGCTTTCAGAGTGTGCTTGATGGTTTTTGTTGAATCTTTAACCTAACCATAGCTTACGGTCTTGCAACTGAGGCGAACTTTTTATAATCCCAGCTCATCGCAAAACTGCTTGAATTCCTCATTGTCGAACTGCTTCCCATATTAAGATGAGTGTATGAGAATCCCTAGTCAAACTATATTCTTAAGACAAGTCTTTGAGCTTCTTGGTAGTGATCGCGACCAATGGTTCAGCCTCGCCCATTTGGTGAAGTAATCTACCGCGACCACAGCATATTTGACGCCCTCATTTTCGACTGGCATGGGCCCAATAAGATCAATTCCCCACATGGAATGGCCAAGGGCTAGTCATTGTCGTCAACTGGTGGGAATGAGCTCGCAGGATGTTCGCAAACCATTGACACTTGTCACACTTTTTCACAAAAGTGAAAGTGTCTTCCTGAAGTAAAGGCCAATAGTACCCTTGGCGGACAATTTTATTAGCGAGGGATCGTGCGGGTTGTGATTACCACAATCCTTATGATCTCCCTCATAATATAGTTAGCTTCTTCGTCGGTTACACATCAGAGGCGAGGGACGCAAAAACCCTTGCTTGTATAACTAATCTCTGATGAGCGTGTAGTGCAGCTCTGGTGCGTAGGATTTTTTCCTCAGCCTTGTCACTGGGCAGAGTCCATCTTGAGATCTAAATGATTGGAGTAATCTAGAAAATTGACTTGTTGTAGCTACGGTTTGCTCGGGTGAGCTAATATTAGGAATCTCTATGTACTAAATGGAATACTTTTCGGCACATCTGAGTCTAGCGACGAGGCTTTCTTGCCAAGGCATCTACGACAGAGTTCTGTCTCTCAGAATTTGCTTGATCATGAAGTGCTTGAAAGCTAGAGTGCGGCTTTACTTTCTTCATAGCTGATCATGCTCTCTTCCTTGGCTTGATATTCTCCCAAGATTTGATTAACAACCAGCTGGGAATTGCTATGAATATTGATCACGTTTGATCCCATTTCTCTCGCTAATCGGAGACCAGCTAGTAGCGCTTCATATTCGGCCTCATTGTTCGTAACTTAACCCAAATCGAAGAATTCCATGGATGTGAGTCCCCTCAGGACTAAAGAGAAGACCTGCCCCGGCTCTTTTCCTGTTCGAGAACCATCAACATAAGACCCCAAGTCGATAAGTTTTGAATGGTTTCCTGATGATTTCGCGGCCTTGCTGCTCGGATTCCTGATTAATTGGTCGAGAATTTCGAAATGAATCGGCAACGATCTGCCTTTTGATGGTTACCTTTGGTCTGCAGTGTAGATCGAACTAACTCAGTTTCATTGCCCATTTGAGTAACTTACCCAAAGCTTTCGACTTCTAAAAAACTTGCCTGAGCAAGTGGTTGGTCAGAACATGGATTTGGTGGGCATGGAAATAGTCGTAGCTTGTTGGAGGCAATCAGTAGGGCATAACTAATCGCTCCATTTCTGGACACCGTCATCTTGTCATCCAACAGTCGCTTGCTCGCGTAATACACTGTCATGAACTTTGCTCTCTCCCGAATGGAGCTATGCTGACCGCATGCTGAGAACGGACATGTACAGGAGTAGAATTTCCTTGGGAAAAGGCTTGGACAGGAAAGGTGCTTTCCGAGGTTTCTTTTATACTCTGAAAGTCTGCTCCACTCCGTATCCACTCGAACTTCTTGTTGTCCCTAAGTATATTAAAAATGGCAAGCAACAATCTGTTACTCTCAATATGAAGCGACTGAGACCACTATTCTCCTATTTAGGCTCTGAACCTGTTTTTCGGTTGTCGCTTTTCATATCAAGGAGAGTCTGGATCTTCTTGGGATTGATTTCGATTCCCCTCTAGATAACCATATACCCTAGGAACTTCCCGAGGATACCCGAATGAGCATTTAAAGGATTAGCTTCATCTTGTACCTTAGGAGTACGTCGACATCTTAGCAAGATATGCTATGTGATCTGAGCGACATGCAACTTGACCAGCATGTCATCAACATAAACTTCCATCGACTTTTCGATTTGCTCGGAAAACATACAGTTAACTAGCCGTTGGTAAGTTCCTCACGTTTTTAGGTCGAAAGACATGACCGTAATAATACAGTCCCTAATCTGTAACGAATGAGGTATGCTCTTCTCAGTACGTACATCAGGATTTGATTTATCTCGAGTAGGCGTCCATAAAGCTCAACTCTTGCCCGGAGGTGGCATCAATTAGTTGGTCGATCCTTGGCAGGGAAAATGTCTTTCGGATAAGCTTTATGAGGTTGGTGAAGTCGACACAGGTTCGCCACTTGCCATTGGGCTTCTTTACCAAGACGGATTCGTAACCCAGTCGGGTAAGCACTCTCGGATGGACCTGTTTAAAAGGAGCTTATCTACTTCAGTTTTGCAAGGCAGCATAACGCTTAAGGTCCATGGCTCTTCCTTTCTGGCGAACCGGCTTGACTTATTGTCAAGTTGATGCAAGACATATAACATTCGGGTTGATCCCGATCTGTTAGCATGGATCCATGTAAAAACTCGATATTCTCTCTGAGGAAGCTTGTTAGGTTTTTGGTGAGTTGGTTGAGATTACTCCCGATTCTCACACTGGGGTCGGCTCATTTTGATCGACTAACACCTCAGATAATCCTCAACTAGGCCCACTATGAGGGCACTCTTGGATGCGAAGATCCATGTTGTCCTCTACTAGGCCGTTGTGGCTTATTCTGCATCACCAGGGTTTGCTCGGAAATGCCTATTGGCCTTCCTTTTCTTTGCACGCCACTTGCACTGCTCTTAGTAGGAGTCGCGAGATTCACGTTGAGATCCTTTTACTTCCCCCGATCCCCGTCGGGGTAGGGAACTTCATTTTCAGATAGTAGATGAAGGTGACTGCTTTGAAATTTTATAGTAACGTCGTCCTAGAATGCCATTAAGGTGGACATAGTCCACCACCGAAAACTCTGTCATTTTGGTCATTTCGTTGGTTTCACCCAACTGACTGTGAGTGAGATCGTTCCCCTAGGATCGTGTGTGTGTGTGTGTGTATGTGAGTGTATGCTATTTAGGACTAAAGATAAGTCAATCCCATAAATGTGAGAGGAGCCCTCTATTTATAGTAGGGGGATTCAAGGTAATAATCATGAGCCTCCAGTTCGGCAGGTGGGGTACAATTCCTAACCCGCTTCCCATTGGTTGTTTGTATGAGAGATATCCTTAAATTGCGTAGGGTTTGGGCAGGTGGACGATTCCTAGCCAGTCGCAAGCCTGACATTCACCTGCTGCACTGACAAGAACCATACCTCTTCCATCATTGCACGACGTGGCAACGTCTAGATGGCACAAAGCCTCCTTGAATTCTGATTGGCTCTTGCTGACGAGAGTCTGTGTCAGCCCTGACTTTTTTGGCATAACAAAAAGAAAAAGAAGCCAGCCCGCGTGCAGGTGATTCTTGGGACTTCAAGGTTTAATCTTATAGTTGTATTGTCTAAGTTGATTGAAAAGAAAGTGGTAACACCTGGGGAATTCGTGTGTTATAGTGGGAATTTGGGTGAAGGGTGGATATGTAGTACAGGGATCAAGTGTAAATGTTACAATAAGGTGTTTACAATCAATGATTTTTAAGCCCATGTGGGTAGCAAAAAACAAAGGCCTGTTGCTAATTTTTTTCTTAAAGATGGGAGGTCTTTGTTGGATTGTCAAAAGGAACTATTGAGCAATAATAAATTGGCAAGTGGTAAAGAGAAGTTGTGTGATGAAATGGAAGATAATAGTCATCAAGATGTGAGTTATGAAGTATGTTATGTTTGCCACTATGGAGGTGAATTAATCATATGTGATTCATGTCCTTCCACTTATCACAAGGATTGCCTTGGCTTAGAGGAGATTCCAACCGGAGATTGGTTTTGCCCTTCATGTTGTTGTGTGATCTGTGGTGAGGGAAAATCTAAGAAAACAATGGAGAATTTTGTGGATGGTGGTATTGTTCACACTTGTGATCAATGTGAGCATAAATTTCACATAGGTTGTCTAAGGAGGAGAGGGGAAGTTAAGGTGAAAAATTTTGCTCATGATAATTGGTTTTGCAGTGATAGATGTGAACCTATTTCTACTTGCCTCCATAAGCTTACAGGAATGCCTATATCACTAGGTGTAAATGATTTAACCTAGAAATTATTGAAGAATGGTAAGGTCTTAAAGGAGAATCAGAGGAAGTTGAATGAGGCAATTGATGTTATACATGAGTGTTTTGAGCCAGCTCAGGACCCTCTAACAGGAAAAGATCTTGTTGAAGATCTTATCTTAAATAAGAAATCAGAGATGAGGCACAAGAACTTTCAAGGATTCTACACAGCTGTTCTAGAGAGGAAAGGAGAAATTGTTTTTGTGGCAACTATTAGAGCGTTTGAAGAGGTTGTTGAGATACCATTAGTTGCTACCAGATTCAAATATCGCAAACAAGGAATGTGCCATCATCTGATGGGTGAGCTTGAAAGGCAGCTTGTTGAAATATGGACAGGTGTCCATGACTTTTGTTTTATTTTTATTTTTTAATTTAAACTATGGACGGGTGTCCATTTTAGGTGGACCCTCGTCCATTTAATATGGACATCTGTCCATTGAATATGGACTGGAGTCCATTATTTTTGTTTTTAAATTTTTTTAATTTAAATTATGGACGGGCGTCCATTATATGTGGATGCTCGTCCATAGTAAATGGACTGGAGTCCATTTAAAATGAACAGTCGTCTAATAATATGGACGGTCGTCCATATTTGATGGACGATTGTTCATTCGCAAAATATTTGTTAATGTATTGCGTGGCTCGTCTGACTCAGTTGACACGTCGTTCGGTGTAAAATTTTGGTGTAAAACGTCGGTGTCTGTAATATTATTGTTTTTTGGTACATTTTCAAGTCTATTAATGTTTGCTAAAACAAGCATAATTTAATATGTGATTTTTTTTTTTTTTCTTTTATGATCATAGTAGCCACCCTTGTTAGGGGCCATGAGAACTTGAAACTTGGGAGACCATGCTAGATCCTCCTCTTGCTCTTTTACCATCAGACCACTTAGTGGTAGTTAAGATGTGATTTATCACCCAACATCAACTACTCTATTTCTGGAATACGTGGTGTACATATATGTATAAAGTAATGAGAGAAAATATGTAAGGTGAGTGCAAATTGGTTCAAACTTCCTTATCAAAAAANAAGAAAATATAAAGTCAACAATTTATTGTGAAATTCAAATTAAGATTTAAAAAGTAATACATAAACTAAAGTCTATCTCCACTACAACTAATAAAATTAATCCATTTGTGAAGGGGACAAATCTCAAATCTCATTATTTGATTAAGTTTAACATCATATTTAATTGATCAATTAATTAATTACAAGGATAATTGAATTTATGTAATTTGTAAGTCGTTAAGTAATTGTATATATTCTTATATTGGTTTGTAAATTATAATAATCTAATTAAATTTATTTTTGGGCCATGTCCCATGTATTATTATTTTATGAAATTCACAAAGTAATAATACATATATTTAATTATTAGACTCTCTCGTTTAAATTATTTTTCTATAAATTTAATATTAACATTAGAAAATATTATAAAAGTAAATATCATAAATTTAGATACATTATTTAAAATCATGATTTAAATTCTAACTTTATATACAATCTCATAAAGGGAACAAATAAAAAAAAAAAAAAAAACACAAAATTCTAAAAAAAGCGGGGCGAGCGGGGCTCCATGGGGCCGGGGCGAGGATTGCATTATCACCTTCCCCGGCTAGTCCCCGGATGCGGGGATTTCACTGAAGACCATCCCCGGCCCATTCGGGCGGGTCGGGATAGATCCCTACAGGGCCGGGGCAAACGCCCATCTCTAATGATTTGTTCTTGATTACTGGCGCTTTTTTTTTTTTTTAAAATGTTTGGTGGTCAAGTGCATAGAAAGTGTTTGGTATCTTAGTAGACATTGAAGTGCAAATGTTGATAATAAAACAAAATCTTAACGTGCTTATTGGGGTTAATGGTTTTTGAATTATGACTTGTAACTTGATGTGTTTCAAACAAGGATAGTTGAAATATGTGGATAAATAGATAAGTGTAAGGGTGCTATGAGTGTTATGATTTTGGACTTTGGGTGAAAGCATTTTGGATGGTTAAATGGAATTAGCGGGAAGAGGGTTTTATCAAGTTGAAAAGAGAGAAACTGGATAGAGAAAATAGGAATTTAAAGTTATCATAGCATACGCTTAATTTATGTCACTACATTCTTTAACTGCAGTGGTAATAATATTTCATATGTTTTATTATTTTCATTTATTAATATTTATAGTTGTTAATTGCAGATGATGATCTTCTTCGTGTACCATTAACTAATCCGGGGAGTGCGTAATCAAGAGACTCTACTAACACCAACATTGTGGGATGAAGATGATTTATGTTATATTAAGTTTTTTTACTTTGTAATTTTATGTTATGTTTAGTTTAACATTGCCAAATTAAATTTATGTTATGTATTTAAGTTTATTAATGAGTATTGACTATTGAGTAATGTGTAATTGAATTCTTTATGTTTTTATTTCATATTCTAGATTAAGTATATGCAAATAAATAATTTAATGTATTTTTCATACAAAAAATACAACAATAATACCAAAATAAAAGAGAAACATAGTATGAAATTATATATAAAATAATAAATATTTGAATTTAGGGACTTAAATGAAACATTGAAGAACTTTAAGGATTAATTTGAAAACTGGTTAACCAGTAACTGAACCGAATATTCGGTTCGGTTTACAATCGATTTTTAATCGAAATTGGTTTGGTTTTTTATTTCAATTTTCTTCAAACCGAAAAACCGGTTTGGTTTTGATAATCTTGTTCAATTAACCGGATTATCTCATCCCTACGCTTGTGGCCGTCGATATTTATAAGTGATGTCAAAATATCAATCTTCCGTAATGGTTGAAAACAGTTGGGTCAAAATAAAATCTGTGAATGCTGATTCTGACACAAATTGATGAGTAATTCCACCAATAAACTTCCTTATTTTCTTCTCCTCGTTATCTCCTTATGTAGGCCACCATACATAATGGACCGCCCTTCACATATCTACATGTATAAATGCACTTTGTTTTCATCAATAATCTTGATTTTTATACCAATACGTATATAAATGGATAGGGAGAACGACATTTTCCCACCTGTTAAGTTTTAAAATGATACTTTTCCACCCTTCGTTAGATTTTGTTAATATTAACTAAAAAGACGAAAAAGCCATTAAATAGTTTATTTCTTATTAGTTTATTATAAATTAAAATTTAGTTAAATCAAAGTCTTTATTCGATTATTTATTAGTTTAAGTGTAAATTTTTTTTTTCTCTTGTTTATTTAATTAATTAGGAATGTTGATTTTTTATGTTAATTAGTAAAAATAAAAAAACATTATATTATGAAAAACATTATAAATAATACACTTTGTTTTCATAACTTTACTCTTGACTTTTTAGACAGGGTAATTATTATTATTATTTTTTGACTTTTTAATATTTCACTATTTGGCTAATTAAAAAATAATAATAAATTTATAAAGTCAAATATTTAAGGGTATTTTCGTCTTTTCAGTAAAATATTAACGAAAAACAAAACAGAACCTAATGAATGGTGGAACAGTATCATTTGGCCGAACCTTGGGTGGGAAAATGTTGCTCTCCCAAATAGATAAGAATTTAGCAATTGGCCTCCCTCCATAATTGCCAGGTTGCGACGCTTGGGCAACATCAAAAGCCAATAAAGCAAAGCAGAACCATACCCACCATGATTAATAAGCTTAAAGAATTGGTTTTTGTTTCACTCGTGATAACGCAAACGCTTTTGAGTGAATTGGTTTACCGCATAGAAGAAGACTTTGGCAATAATTAAAGAAAGACAATGACTTGGAAAACTACGGCCTTTAACTACATGTCGTTTTGGCGGACCACCAATAATTAATGACTCCAAATATCTTCTAATTTCGTTATACAAAATCGTTTTAGCTACGTCAATGCAAAGTTATTAAGGTGGGTGGGAGTGTTGAAATTAGTGGCTCCTAGATGGGGGGCTCTTTTAACTTATGGACTTTGTTCGCTTTCATAGTCACCCTCTAATTAAGTTAACGACTTTTTTCCACCCAAATAACGATTTAATGATATTTTCTCATCACGGACTTTTAAAATATCATTTTATTATCTAAATTTATATTCCGACAGTGAATAGAGAACAAAATTGTTCTAGGTTATTGAGACTTTTGAAGAGGAAAGACTATTGAGTCTTTTGGTGGTGAAAAGTTGGATTTTTGTGGTTAAGATTGATCGAATTTGACTTAAGAGGGACAGCTACGCAAACCATAATCGCTCGATTGCTGGCGATTGGTGGGGTCAGTAGGAGTAGAGTTTGAAGGGTTTTGATAAGTGAAGATCGTGGTGTAAGGTCGCAAAGATACCAGAATCGAAAACGGAATATAAATTTGAGTAATAAAATAGTATTTTAAGAGTCTGTAGATAGAAAAATATCATTAAACTATTATTTGGGTGAAAAAAAAGTCGTTTACTCCCCTCTAATTAAATCAACTTCTTCTTTTCAATTCATTTTCATAGCGTCTTTGGTCCCCTTTCTTGTTTTTCTTTGTTCCAAAGATTTCTAGCTCTATACTTATTATGGATGTGTTTGTGTTGCTGGAGTGCTGACCATTTTCGATAAGCTTAAATAATTTGTATGTAATATCTATAAATACACTAAAATTTAATATATAGTTTTTTTATGTTTAAAGTAAAAACGGAAAGTATTTATTAAAAGAAGCAAAAACATTATAGTGGGGTGTTGATGTTGATGGATTTGCTTTACTTTAATTTGCTTTTGCCTATTGCTGTTGCCGTTGCTACTCCGTCAACTTTTGTTTTCTGTTTACGCAACACGTTTACCTTAATCAACTCCTTGTTTTAATTCCTCCCTAAGATTTTACAAGGCAATCACTTTAAATTTTTATCAGCTTATTATTTCCATTGACTTTTCTTCATCAAATCTTTCATAATCATATCATGTTTTTTATGATGATTTCTGTTCCGGTTGCATGTGCGTTAACTGATTAAAGGTAAATCCGATACTACATTTTAAATTATCAAAACGTTTTTCTTATTCTTTCCTTGAAATAAACATTTTAATTTCTTGTCAAAGTTATACATCCAGTAATTTTCAAATTATATCAAACATTTTACTCCATTATTATTTAATTAATAAATATTACCACTTCGGTAATTTGGTCAGTCGATATGTGGCCTTGGATCCCTTGTGCAGCTTTTCAGGCTCGTAGTCGTGGGTCAGCAACTTGAAAGCTGCTTTCACTTTCAGCAAATGAAAAATAAAATAAAGCAAAAAAAGCAATAACAGAGGNCTTACGGCTTACACTCATCCATTTATCCACATTATCAACATTTGTACTTCAATATCTACTAAGATACCAAACAAACACAAAATATGCACTCCATCACCAAACATTAAAAAACAAAAAACCAAACAAACGCTTTCTATGCACTCCATCCAAATACACTTAACACTCAAGTACTCCACAAACAAAACCAAAAATAAATAAAGAAATCACCAACAATTGATTCTAATAAACCCAAAAACTACCTTAAAGCAACTAGAAACAAAGAAACGCAAAATCTCACCATCAAAAAATAAGATTTAAAGATAAAAACTAAAAATAGCAACTAATGTATAATTCAATTACACATTACTCAATAGTCAAAACTCATTAATAAGATTATAGTTAGCAACTCTCCAAAACTTTAAAACAAAACATATGTTGTGATAACTTTAATGATAATATACCTCAGATATTGGAAATTTGGAATACCTTTCAATCATCAAGATGAGTTATACTACTTTCCACTCCCGAAGAGAAAACCTCTACACAAAGTTGGACAAACAAGTTAGCTAGAATTATAAATAATGAAGAAAATATATAATTATAATTTAAAGTTAACAAACAATGTCACCTGACTCAAGTTGAGATAATTCCTCCAAGCTTTCCTCAATGGTCAATGGACCATGCGTATTCCTAATCCAATCCTATGTACAGATAAGAGTCTCTACCATCTTAGTAGTAAGGGAGCTACGAAACGGATCTAATACACGACCCCTTGTACTAAAAGCTGATTTAGATGCAACCGTTGAAACAGGCATAGCCAACACATCTTGTGCTATCATAAAGAGTACAACATATTTTGTTGAATTCATCTTCCACCAATTCAAGATATCAAAAGTGTTGTCGTCATCATCCTCACAATCATTCACTAAATACTTATCCAACTCCGTTCTATGCTAAACAGCTTTCTTTTCTTTGCAGCCTTTTTCTCCTTATACATAACCCTTATGAAGTCCTTATTAGCAACATGTACATTATGCACATCAACGTTAATTGAAACTTGAGATTTCTCTCTTGACTGCTCATTATCATCCACCATAAGCAAACTATATTGCTCAAATAAAGACAACAAAGCTTCCTTCACTCTTTTCATCAACTTGTCAGCTACAACAACATCATAGGCCTCATTAACAATCCAGTCAACAACATCATAATGTTGATATTGTCAATATTTGACCAATACTTATCAAATTTTCCTTTCATCCGTGTAGCCATATTCCGTAAGCCAAGATCAGGACTTTTACACCATGCTGAAATCTTCAACCCAACGCTGAAAATCTCTTGCATATATGCATTACCAGTAATATAAAGAGACCTAGAGACACGTAGAGTAGCATCGTAAAATACTTGCAAGAAAGGTAACAAATAGTGAGCATACTCCCAATCAGTACTCCTAGGCAAACCTCGTGACCTATCACCACTAGTAAGTTCATCTGCATACTTACTATCTTCCAATGCCAACAACTCTGAAGCTTTCTGAAATTTTAATGCCGCTGCCAACATCAAGTATGTAGAGTTATTTGTATGAATTTCGGGGACGAAATTCTTTTAAGGGGGGAAGAATTGTAACGCCCCACTTGAGGTACGTAGCTAATGTTTCTTCTTTTGCTCTTATTTGAGTCGATTTATTAGTATTATTGTTTAGTTGGCCTTTGATTAAGTGGTATGTTGAATACTTGCCTTGAAATTGGTTGAAAATAGAAGAAGTTTAGTGTTATAGGCTTCGCCGGGGTGAAGAAGAATCTTCACCGCGACGAAGAGGTGTTGAAGCCGAGGAAGCTGCTGGACAGTTATGCCGCGGCGACAGAAGCTTTTTCGCCGCGGTGATGGGCCGACCAAAATGTTTGTTAAGTTTTAGATATTTTCTTCCCTAAGGGCAATTTGACCATTCTACCCCTAATTAGTAGGAAAAGTGGGGAGTAAAA